TCCAATTTATGCCCGAAAATCCACTCTTTTTCAGCTTAATTACTTCATATATCATCCCCTTTCTTATTCTTAACTTACATACTCATATTCAAACTATTTTTTATTCATTAATCACCTCTTTAACATCAAAATCCTATTCTCCATATGTAATTCAAGAATTACACTAAATTTTCAACATGTTCCAAATTCAATTCTATTGCTTCTAACTTCTTAATTAGACCATTGACAAGTCAAATTCATCCTTAGAACTTTAAAAACCTTTTTATAATAAAAGTTCATTTATAAACTCTTAATAGAAATTCCTTTCTAATTCTCTCTTCTTGATGTTTTAAACTTATATAAGCTTTCCTTAAGCTTATATAACCCCCAAAGACTCAAATCCAACTTAAATATTCAAGAAATCAACAGCTAAATCAAACTTACCTTTGCTCTTGGCTTCCACGTGAAGAAGAAGAAAGGAGAAGAAGAGAACTCTGGAGAAATCTCTCCCTTTCCACGTGGTTCCCTTTTCTTATAAAGGAAGAATAAAAATCTTACTTGTCAATTAACCATTTTACCCTTTAATTCATTCTATAATTACTAAATAACCTTCATCATATATTTCCAATAAATCATTGAACTATTCAATTATCCTACTTTAATCACCAATTTCTAAAATTTTTCAATCTAGTCACTAACCCGATATTGAGGATGTTACAATTCAAGTCCCCTTTTATACAAATTCACCCAAACATCACATAACCTTTTTCAACTTTTCATTTTAACGACTACTTATGAATTCTTTTAGAATTCATCTCAACTTTTCCATTTTATTCTAAATAGTCCTTTGCCCTTTTATTTCAATTCAAGTCTCAAACAACTTAATTAAATTTCCAGCATCTAATTTCCAGTCCAATACCTCAAAATTTCCACTATTACCACTTAAATCACTAAATTTCTTAATATTTGTCATTTATTACTCAAACTTTGACAACTTCCCAAAATAGTCAAATTTCACATTCTAACACCAAATTAATTACTCTAACATTAATTTCCAGCATATTACTTCATTTATTGAATAATTACATACCAACCCTATACTTTTCAAAATTACAAATTGTTCCAGATATTTTTCTAAAGCTTGTAGGATCATTCTTTCATCATTTACACCCTTGTATAATTTTCCATATTTTTCTCACTTCCAAAAGCTTAGGTGAATGTTAAGGGGTAAGGTTTCATGATTTCACTTAATTTCAATTTGATCGAGCATGAAATCAATCTCTATTCAACATTTTAAAATCTATACAATTAAACCCTAACTCAATTTCATCAAATCATAAACTTTCCCAAATTTAGGGTTTAGGCCAAAATTAATATATTGTTTCTAGGTGGTTTTGATCATCAAACAAGCTTGGAAATGATTCCACAGCCTCAACAACCTCAAATCCATCATCAATTCATAAAACTCTAACATGAACATAAACCTTAAAATTTGGGAACTTAAAATTCAAGCAATATTAGCATGCAATAATGGTATCAAATGATAGAGTTCTTCAAATATAACGATTTTCTATTTCATTGTTCGATCCAAAATCCAAAGGAAATTGCTCAAAAATGAAAATAAAATTTCTCTTACCTATGTTATGAAGAGAACGCAGTGGAGGTTGAAGAAGACCTTATTTTCATGAAATTTCTAGTTAATTTCATGTTAATTTGTCATTTATTAAGCTTAAATGAATTTCAAATTCATTTAATTAGGAAATAACAATTTTACTATTAATGAAACTTGATAATTACATCCATATCAAGTCACATGTTGGTTATCATCTTCCAAAGTCAAAGATGAAAAAATGTTATACCCTTGACAACTTTATCCATGCAACTTTCCTATAATTTCAATCTTGTCATTTTCATCCAACGATCCAAATTGAACATGGAAATAAATTCTCAAATCCAATGGTCTATATTATTTTCCATCATTTTAAAATGTGGAAATAATTTATCTAAGCTTAATTTAATATCCTTCAAAATTTCTAAAATTTCTATTCGATACAATTTACTGAATTTTTACATGACTTTAACATTTTATAGTTTTTAACATAAATTTCGGATAAAAAATATAATTCTCACCAAAACGTCATTATTGGGGTTGAACTATTCATTTATGGGGTTAAAACACCTAATTTTTGAAAATTATATTTTGGTCCCTAAACTTTTGGAAAATTACCCTTTTAGTCCCTAAAATTTTCCAAACTTTATATTTTGATAACTAAACTTTTAAAATTTACATTTTAATCACTAACCAAAATATGGGATATTACAATTCTTCTCCTTTAAAAAAATGCATCCTCAAATTTTCAATACGTACTGGATTTAAACAAATGAGAACATTGTTTTTTCATGCCTTATACTCCTTTAAATTTTTAACGTAATTTAATAAGTATTCTCCTTTTTCATAAGCCAAATTCTAATTGAATCTTAATATCCTTCAATGTGATGAGAAGAATTTGATCAATACATTAGGAAACACTTATCACCAACTTGATAAAAGATCTGCTTTCTTTTCAAAACTGAATAAAACTTTTGTAGATCAGTAGTTGTCTTGAAATTATCATAAATAATCTTTACATATTATCAAAGTCCATTGTAATTCATTTCCATTTTCACTAAGGGATGGAAATCGGTTACAATAATTCATAAGACACTTGATGCTTTACTTTAACTTGTTGATATGACAAGCATTTAGAAACAAACTTGGTGATAATTCTTTTTATGACTGCCATTAATATCAACTTTTTTCTAGATACTATAAGCATCCATCAAACTTAACTTCAGGTCTTTAGTTTCACATTTTTCTACTTAATATATCGTTTACAAGCACTTTTCATCATTCCTTTGAATATCCTTTACTCATCTAACAACATAGACTTCAACTTTAATTCTACAATCAAAGCACCATATTTCTTTAAAAACAATCAGTATTTAAATCATCATCTTTAATATTTAAATTAAAAGGAAATCATATAATATCCTTTTTAATTCAAAATATTAAAAGGATAAGCTTCACTTAAGGTCCAGACATTTGTGTGCCCACGTCATGCAAGTGCACCCCAACCCTAATGGGTTTGAAATATATAAAGGGTGAATCATCATTACAGGTTTATCTCCAGAACATAGGAGAAATAAACATATAATTAATTAAGGAGTTACTAACAATGTAGCAGAAAAGGCAGCTGATAACTCCGCCAGAACTGTGTTTTTTTCCTTTTATTTGATTCGAACAGTCGATCATTCTGTTCTCTGCTTCTCCCTGAGATTATGAGCCAAAAAACTGAGATTAAGCAGAGACATCAACAAGGGTTGAAGCTATTTCGCCTTATTAGCTTACAGTTTCGCTCTTTAACCGTTGTTTTGTTTCATTTCATTCATTAATTGCTTCGCATGGGTTCCAATTCTTAATTTAAAATCACCATGCAAGAGGATAGACGGTGAAGTTTATTCAAAACAATGGGAATGTGTACTCGGGAGCTGTCGCAGGGGGAGAGGTCGGGAATCCGGGCCTCGACAATTCATATAAACCCCACACCAAAACCCCTTCCCCATGCCGAACCAATAAAAAAGAAAAAAAAGTTTCCCCCCAAATCACTAGCCTTTAGTTCTTCCACAATCCACGTCCTCTTCTTTCTGTTTTCTTTTAGGGTAAATCACGTTTACTCTCTTAACTTTATTTTCTCTCTTATTTCACTCACCGTACTTTAAATTTTTTTTTTAATTTACTCACTAAACTTTAGACATTAAACTTTTTTAGTCGTTAAATTTCTAACACCGTTAAATTAAAATTGAAAAAAAAATTAAAAGTACAATAAGTGAAATAGGAGAGAGTAAAGTTTAATGAGTAAACACATGACATGTTTTATTATTAAAATAAGTCACATGAGCACGTTGTTACTGAGTAAACGGTTAAGTGGCAAAAAAATTAAATGTCTAAAGTTTAGTGAGTAAATTGTAAAAAATTGAAAATATAGTGAGTAAAACAGGAGAGAGAGTAAAGTTCAGTAAGTAAGCGTGTAATTTACCCTTTCTTTTAAAAACCTTTTCTTTCCGTTCTGGTTCATTCATGCAATTTGATTTTCTTGAATCAGCGGACCCAAATTTACCCCAAGACAAAAAAGCTTTACATTTTTTTTCTCTACCTTCATCTCTGATTAATCAATTCAGCCTCCTTTTGATCTTCAAGGTCCCTCATTTTATGCTTCTCTTTTAATTTTTATTTTCTAGCAATGGTGGTTTGATCAAGATTTGTTTTTCAAGAGATTCTTGTTTCTGCTTATACATATTCGTTCTTTATTCTTTTTTATCGTTTGTTTTATTTTTAAATAATGAATGGTTTCTCAGTTTAAGGTTAAGCCTTGTAAGTTCTTCTGGATTGAAGAAATCTGGGGAATTCATGCTGACAGAGGTTGTTATCTTTCATTACTTTTCGTTTTCTTATTTTTCACTTCAATCCAAAATCTGAATCTTTGCTCTATACAGTGATTATTCTTTCATTTCATTTTCTTCTTTTTGTTTTTGAATTTCCTATCAGACGCATAAAATAGTAATAACTACGTTTTTAGATCTAACAAAATCTTGATTTTGTCTCTTGTTTTCTTTCTTTTGAGATTCTGCCATTACATGCAACATGCACATGCTTCAGCTCATTTAAACACGTTCTTAAATTCAAGATTTAACGGCATCACGTATTTGACATCTCTGTTTCTCGGGTTTTAACTTCATCATCCTTTTGCAACTTCCATTTCCTTACGTTAGTTGCAGAGGCAAAACAAGCACTGGGTCTTTTTTGTTATAATGAGTTTTGGTCTTTCAGCAGCATAAACTAATTCAGTACCTTCTTGTTTGTAACATTTACTTCTAAAAGGTGTTGGTGTAGCTTTTTTTTCCTTTTTCTTACTTCAATGCAATTTCCTGCAGTTTTCTATGAGTGTAACATAGAAGCTTTGTCTATGAGGACAGTTACTGATAAGAGAAGAAATGCTTCATCTGACGTGGAATGCCCTTTCTTTTCAAGTTTGAAGGTTTTCCAACATTGAAGTTTTAGTAGAATTTTATCTTTCAAAGCTTGTAAAATGTCTGATATTGTTGCAGGGAAACGTCGGATTTAAAATGAGGCAGCTTCCATTTTTGGGAGTTATTTTTACAGTTATGTTGTACATTGTGTATAGAACCACAAATTATCAATACTACGAGACAGAGGTATAAAAACTCTCCTCATTCTCTAGATTTTACTGATTTTGGTTTATTGTAAGGAGATACATGCAGTTTCTGTTTCCTGGTCTTTCTATTTGTCAATCTGGGTACTTTTTATTTCCTTTTACAGTTAGCCCCACTGATTTCATGCTGGCATTGTCATTGTGATAAGGTGTCTGGTTATTCAAAGAAGAAAAAAGTTCAACCTTGTGCTTTCTTTTATTTTCAGATTGAAACCAAATTGCACCCTTTCGAAACAGTAGAGGTAAGCATGTTAATGCCGGCATTTGCCATTCCAAGTCAGTTTTCAGTTCCTTTTTATGCCTGAGCTTGTAGAAATTGGATTTTTTTTGCCTTGGTCTTTCTTTGGACTATGTTTTTGTATAAGTGAATGTGTACATAATTCATTAGGTTCTTGCATTTGCATTGTTTTGATCCATTTCCTTCAATGTCATCTAAGTTGTGTATCATGCTTGTGGCTAGGATAATGAATTGCCTTCCAGGATATCAAGAGATTTGCCTCGTGGCATTATGCAATCTCATTCAGATTTGGAACTAAAGCCTCAATCGTCAAAGAATTCACCATCTAAAGTGAGATGCAAATATTCTTGTAATTTAGCATAAACTTTTATACTAAGATATGAATATAGCCACTTTCTTTTTTGTTTTTGACTTTTCCTTGGTATCTTTCTTTCAATGAATAAAGCAGTGATGACTGTTCTGAAAAATTTGTTATTGCTGAAAAAAATAAGATTGTTTACAATATTTGATGCCATTGGATGGATATCCAATTGCAGGTCAATGTTACCACAAATAACTTGCTGGCAATGCCAGTTGGAATTAAACAAAAGGAAAATGTTGACAGTGTTGTGCGAAAGGTATTTGAATCTTCTCCTGTTGACTTTCAACATTGATGAACTGCACAATGTTAACCTAATTTTGTTGAATTCAGTTTTTTGCAGCGAATTTTACCATTATTTTATTCCATTACGATGGTAAAGTGGATGGATGGTGGGATTTTGATTGGTGTGGCAAAGCCATTCACATAGTGGCTCATAACCAAACAAAGTGGTAAAACCTACTGTTGGTGAAAGGATTTCTTTTTTCATGTCTTGTGAAACGTGTGGGTGGATGTGTATACTCATAATGATATTGGAGTTTATCAAACTGCTCATATTGTAGGTTTGTTGCTAAAGCGTTCTAACGAGGCTCGAGTCATTTTGAGTTGTAGTCAGTAGTCTGGCTTAACAGTCAGGAATTGCGGAATCAAACAAGGCCTTAATCAGTTTTATAATTCTTATATTTTTGCTTCTGTCGAGTGAACGTGTAACATTATGAACTAATGGTTACATGTGCTGCTCTAAGAGTTTGGTCTGCTATATAAATTGGGTCATGGACTTTGGACTGCTTGAAAAATGTAAAGCGATGGCCTAGATGAATCTTATTGACTGGTTTGTGTATCCATACTTTGTCTACTGAAATTTCTTGATAAGCTTGGTGATCTCTTCCCCTCTTTTAGGTGGTTTGCGAAGCGTTTTCTACATCCAGATATTGTGTCAATTTATGACTACATATTTCTTTGGGATGAAGATTTTGGGGTGGAGCATTTCGATCCAAGAAGGTAAATGGCTTTTATGACAATTCGTTCACCTGCAATAGCTTGAAATTTTCTTGCCTTAACATAATCTTGTGTGTTTTTCAATAATAATATAATCTTCTGCCCAGGTTTCTCAACATTTAGTTCAATCTTTTTCTCGTTTACTACTATTTCTGCTTTGTGAGGCTTTCGGGGGGAAATCCAAACATTATGATCAAATGGGTGAGTCTTCTTTCTCCAGGTATCTAGAAATAGTGAAGTCAGAAGGGTTAGAGATTTCTCAGCCTGCTTTAGACCCAAAGTCAATGGAAATACACCACAGAATCACTATACGTGCTAGAATGAAGAAGTTTCATAGGTGAATGAAATGGTTTATGGCAATTCATAAAATGCTTACAGATTATTATTTGTATAATACTTTAACGTTTTTGGAAAATATAGGAGAGTCTATGGACGTAGAGATAGAACAAGGTGTTCAAATATGAGGGAGGGGCCACCATGCTCCGGGTGAGTTGTTCTATCATCACATTGCTCGGAAGCATGATATAATGTTTTAAAGCAATTGAATTAGAATAATTTCATCCGTATTCCTTCCCTATATTGATAACTCTAAAAATGGCATGGGAAATTGTGCTTGGATTTAAGTCCTAAGAGGATTTCCCCCCATACACAACTTCCGCACTCCGCCTGAGATCACTCTGTTGCAAGCTGGTAATGAGCGGATTGATGAAATATTTAAGAAAATCAAATTTCATGATTTGGTTGGTCGGTGTTGATTTTAATCATCCATAATATCTCTGTAGATTTGTGGAGGGAATGGCTCCCGTGTTCTCCAGAGCTGCCTGGTTTTGTGCATGGCATCTCATACAGGTAACCTTGCATGCTTTCCTTGTCTCCATAGAATCTTAAGGATAGCTGCTTCATTCTGCGCTTCACATTTCCATACGATCTATCCTTTCCTTTTCTACAAATTTTTAGCGCACACATTTATCATAACGCATAAATCTCTCATTTTCATATAGTATTATTTTGCTGTTGATCTCTAAGCCATTTATCTTTCTTTCAGAATGATCTTGTTTACGGATGGGGAATGGATATGAAACTTGGGTATTGTGCACAGGTAAGACTTCACTTGATTCTACTTCGGAACTGTTTAGCCCTTTTCGACTATTCATTCTTTATAGTTCATTTCCTTTTATTCTAGTAGACATATATTTCAGCATGATTCCAAAAAACATTATGTTTATTATGGATGAATGTGCTATTATTCAGGGTGATCGAACAAAGAACGTGGGGGTGATTGATAGAGAGTGCATTGTTCATAAGGGCATACAAACTTTGGGTGGGACAGGAGAGCTCCCATCGAGGAAATCCAGAAAGGTTTCTGTTTTGTTCTTCTATGGGTCAATTGAGCTTTACATTTGACAAGGATAAAAAAGCATATCTTTCATCTTATTTTGCTTAAAGTACAAGGTTAATATAATTACCTGCTCTCCCTAGTTCTGTATATGAACCATCCAAACATTACCTAATTCTTGATTTTGCTGCCAAATTTAAATTTTGCCAAAGTAACATTTCAATTTCATCCAAAATTTGTCTTCAAATAATTTGAAGCCTTCAGTAATTTATCTGAATTGGAGTTCGTAGTTATTTCTTATCCTCTCTATATGTTATCATAAACTTTGTTTCTTAACTGTTTTTCCTGCTTATGTGCAGAGTAGTAGGGCTTCGAGTCGAGCTTCACGTTTCGATCCACGAGCTGAGGTGAGATCCATAATTCCTGAATTCACTTTGCGTTGAATAGGTAAGAAATTTATGCGATTATGGATAGTATATTATTTTTAGTTCCTCGGCAAACAAAGACCTCTCTTTTAAACTCGCTCAATTCGCATGATATAATTAAACAATGGATATCTGGCACTTGATAATATGGCCGAATAGCAGGAGATTTTACCCTGCTTCTTCAGATGAAAGAAATATCTAAGCGACAGCGAATTATAAACACAAATAGATACTGCTTGCAGATTCGCAGGCAATCCACATGGGAACTTAAAGTCTTCAAAGAGCGATGGAATAAAGCCGTAGAACAAGACAAACATTGGGTGGATCCATTTCCGAGGCAACCGAGGCGAAGAAACAAACGTCAAAGCAAAGTTTTTGACCTTTATGGGTAATCAAAGCCATCTATGGTTGCTCTTATGCACAGTCACAGAGACACTAGTTTAATCTCATCATCACCCGTACTTGTATTTTAGCTTTCCTCTCATAACTACCTCGTTATTTGAACCCATGCTTTTAGCCTTGTCTGATATACAACCCAGTTTTGCCGTATTTATGTAATTAAAAACTACGGTAGTTGCCATATTTCTCATACGAAAGATCTATGTTTAGTCTTATTTACAATCAACTATTTTCAGTATTAATCAAATAATAACACAGATTATTAACTTACTAAGAATATTAATGTATTAAAAACTAATTTTTGTTATTGGATTAGATAATGAGTACTTATTCTACTTTGTATTTTGCCGTATTTATTTATGGGTAAACTACTTGAATGACCAATTAATTATGGATTGGGTGTCACTATAACCATCATTTTTAAAATTGTCAATTTGACCATTTAACTATTTAATCGGTTTCAATATAGTCTCATGTTGTTAATATTTGACAGAAGTGTTGACGTGACAGTTAATAAAATTGATATAATTATACATTTGGTCCTCAGTAGTTACATATTCTTTCAAGCTAGTCTTAGTTTTAATTTAATTCAAAAAATAAACCATCCAACCAGGAAGTGTCACGTGTCAAACGAATATTTGACACCTTCAATAGTGAAACGTGTCACCACCTGATTGGAGAATTTTTTTTAATATTAAATCTAATTAAACAACCAAGCTGGGCTAAACTCATCATTTAGTTTTAAGTTATACAATGTTTTATTTATCTGTTTTAAATTATGACATAAAAAATCATTAAAACAAATATAATAAATAAATCATTTTTTTGGCTTTGGATTCTCTAAATAAATTTTTTAATATAATTATATTTTAAATATAATTCATATATAATTATTTAAAAATAATAATTTAATTTAAAATATAAAAAATTAAAATTAATTTTATTTTTATTTTTAAACCTCATATATTCTAAAATTTATATATATATATATATATATATATATATAAAATTTATTTATTAGATTTGTTTTAATAATTTTTTTGTCATGATTTAAAATAGATAAATAAAACATTGTATAACTTAAAACCAAATGTTGGTTTTAGCCCAATGGTGGAGTTTTGGCCACCCATACTTAAGGTCTTTAGTTTAGTTCCCCCGAATAACAAATTTTTTCTCATTTCTTTTCTCTTAAACTGGTTGAACTAAATATTAAAATAATTATAAAAAAAAACTCTCTAATCATGTGATGATATGTGTCACTATTGAAATTCCAATTCATCTACAAAGATTGGAGTATGTTGCATTTTCGACATTTTTAGGTATGTATATATTTTCCTTTTTAGGATTCTATGCATGGTACATCTAGGTATCATGATTTCATTTGTACCATGCTAAATTGCATCGGGTAATTATTTATGTCATGCTTTTTATATACTGTTAGTTCTTTGCTAGATTGCATTGGGTAATTTTTTGTACCATACTTTTATTTTGTTAACTCTTTAGTTGAATTTAGTTGAAAATGGGTTTGGTGTAAAGCCAAGGACTGGAGACAATTGAGTGATTGATGGTGATTTGTGCCTTCTATGGAACATCATAGCCATTACTACAACATGATTCAAAGGGGAAGGTTAGTTTAGTTATATACTTCAATGTGTCTTGTTTTTCTTCTTAATATAACATTGTGATTATGCTGTATTTTTCTTATTGTCTATCATCTACTTTGTAGCAGGAGTACGAGGAGCCTATGTATTGTGGTATCGTCTATTGTATCTTGCTTTTAGGTATTTAATATATTCCATGTTTGTTCCTGAATAAAAAGTTCTTGTTTTGCGTCTTCTTTTTTCTCTATGTTGGCTTTCTCCAGTGCTAACGTCTATTGCTGGTTTCTTAAATCCAGTTTTTCATGTTCCTTACCCTTGCTAATCAACCCTTAAATTTGATTTCCTTTTTTCTCACCTTATAACTATCACGCAGGAATGAGAGTGCTTTGAAGTTTAAATGGTTCTTCCTGTTTTATTTAGTAATATCTCATGTTTCCCCTGATAGATCTTCTATAACTATATTCGGGTTATACTGATGGGACTTGCATCTATCTTTCTGTTTTTACTTACAACTACACCAGTGCATCAGAGTTGTCATAATGCACTCATCCTCCAAAAAAATATCATTTTTTTCTGGGATAATAATGTTTCAAGCATAAGATAATGGATTGCCTGTTATCTCGATGGAATTTAAACATAATGTAAGTACTTGACATGCAAAATGATTATTCTAGTTTAATTCTTTTCTATCCATAAAATTTTACTGATGGGTTTCTTTTGGCCTTACACAGCGGGATCCTACCTGCATTGATCTTATTAGCAATGCTTTGGCTGGGGTAAGTATATGCTTAAACCTGAGAAAATTTTTATCCACAAAGTTTGGTCATTGAAATAGTTGAGCATTTTCTTAGTTTACGCTTAACTTGTACCATAGATTCATTATATGTGGATAGTTTAGTGGGAGACAGATGGTGTTAAATAAATTAGTAGCAGCACACTTAATAAAGGATTTGGGTTGTCCTAGTCTTTAGAAGTTGAGTAGTTTGTTTTAATTTGCTTCCTAGTTAACAGGAGTTTGTTGATGCACTTTGGATAGTGCCTATTTTCATGTTGCTTTCATATATGTACTTGCCTATTTATAGGCTGGTTATTTATCAATAAAGAGCAGAAAGTTTATCCACTATTTTTTGAGTATCCTCTATTTTCACTGTTAGTGCAGAAAACATCCTTCAATTCTTCTGTTTCTATCAGTGGCATAAGAGCCAGGTTAAAAGCAAGAGAGAAAGAGTTGCCAAACAACATTGATGGCTTCAGAATCAAATTTTGTGCAGGCGGTGATACCACGTTTTGATGGTCACTATGACTATTGGAGTATGCTAATGGAGAATTTTCTACGGTCCAAAGAGTATTGGTTGATTCTTGAATCTGGAATTCAAGCACCAACACCTAATGCAATCTTGACAGATGCCCAGAAAACAGAGTTGGAAGGGAGAAAGCTCAAAGATTTGAAGGCAATTGATCGTCCCATTTTGAAAACAATTCTTAGAAAAGAAACTTCCAAAGATATTTGAGATTCCATGAAGAAAAATTATGAAGGCTCTGCTAGAGTGAAGCGTACATAGCTTCAAGCTTTGAGAAGATATTTTGAGACTGTACAAATGAAGGATGGAGAATCTGTCACCAGCTACTGTGCCAGGACTATGGAGATTAGCAAAAAATACGCTTTCATGGTGAGAAGATAGTAGATGTCACCATTGTTGAAAAGATATTGCGTTCCCTGACACCAAAGTTTAATTATGTCTTATGTTCCATTGAAGAATCGAAAGACATAGATACATTTTCTCTTGATGAATTGCAGAGCTCCTTGCTGGTCAATGAACAGAAGATGAACCGAAGTTCAACTTCAGAGGAGCAATCTTTAAAGGCTTCCACCTTTACTCATTTCTCAAGCTCAAGAGGAAGGGGTACAGGTAGAGGTCGAGGAGACAGAAACAACAATGAACGTGGGAACCAACAACAAAGTCATCATAAGGAGAGTAAATTTCAAAGAAGAGGCAGAGGACATGGAGGCCACCACTCAACAACTTACAGATCAAAGTCAACAGACAAGTCCAATGTTGAATGTTTCAGATGTCATAGGTATGGCCATTATAAATCAGAATGGCAAATTGATTTGAATAAACAAAGTGGAGATCAAACTAACTTTGCAGAAAATGAAAAAGAGGTGTCTCTTTTGATGGTCTGTCACGTGAAAAAAGAATCTCAACAATAAATGTGGTTTTTAGACACTGGCTGCAGCAATCACATGTGTGGAGAGAATGAGGCATTTTCTGACTTGGATGAATCATTTCACAGCTCTGTTAAGTTTGGTGACAACTCCATAATTTATGTTATGGGAAAATGAAAAATAACAATCCAAACCAAAGGAAATTCCACTCACACTATCACTAATGTTTATTTTGTGCCAGATCTAAAGACCAACTTGCTTAGTGTGGGTCAGTTACAAGAAAAATGATACAAGATTTTTATCAAAGATGGAGTATGTCAGATTCAAGACACAAATTTGGGCTTAATTACTGAAGTTAACATGACAGCGAATCGTTTGTTTCCACTATATCTCCACAATACAACTCATATGTACTTCTCAGCAAAATTAAAAGATGAGGCGTGGCTATGGCACTTTCGCTATGGGCATCTGAATTTTTCGGATCTAAGACACTACAACAAAAGAACATGGTGACAGGGCTTCGTCAAATTACAGTATCCTCTCAAGTTTGTGAAGAATGTGTTGTTAGCAAATAACATTGTAATCAATTCCCACAAGGAAAATCTTGGAGAGCGAAGAAAGCATTGGAGCTTGTTCATTCCGATATTTGTGGGCCAATAACACCACATTCTAATGGAGGTAAAAGATATATAATTACTTTCATTGATGATTATAGTCATAAGATATGGGTTTATTTTTTGAAAGAAAAATTTGAAGCCTTTGTAGCTTTTAAAAGCTATAAAGCACTTGTTGAGAAAGAAGTTGGTTTCTTCGCATAGATCATGGTGGAGAATATAACTCACATGAATTTTTAATTTTTTTGTGAGAACCATGGAATCAAGAGACAACTTACAACAGCTTATACACCCAACAGAATGGAGTATGTGAGAGGAAGAACCACACTATTATGAATATGGTGCGAAGCCTTTTGACAACAAGTGGCATTCCAAAAAGTTTATGGCTTGAAGTAGTGAATTGGAGCATTCATATATTGAACAGAAGTCCTACATTTTTGTTCAAAATATGACACCAGAGAAAGCATGGAGCGAAAGGAAACCTGTTGTAGATCATTTTCGTATTTTTGGGTGTATTGCCTATGCCATATTCCAGATAAGAAGAGGAAGAAACTAGATAACAAGGAGAAAAATGTATTTTTCTTGGTGTTAGTGATAAGTCAAAAGCTTATAAACTATACAATCCTAGCACCATGAAAATTGTCATTAGTCGTGATGTGGTATTTGATGAAGAAGCCACTTGGTCATGGAATCAAAATGGTGTTAATAAAAGTATTCCAGCAGATTTTGATGATGAAGAGAAAGGGCAACAACCTATGGAGGATGAGAAAGAAGAGGAAGTCACTCAAAATGTTCCAATAGCTGAACAAAACCCACTTATAGCTGAATCACAAAGGTCTCAACGTGTTCGAAGAAGACCAGCATGGATGCATGATTATGAGGTAGCTGGAATTGATCAATCTGAAGACCTACTCACCTACTTTGCTCTGTTTTCAGATTATGATCCTACTAATTTTGAAGTGGCTGTCACAGAACCAAAATGGAGAAAGGCTATGGATGCTGAAATTACAGCCATTGAAAAAAATGATACATGGGAGCTATATGATCTTCCAAATGGGCAAAAGACTATTGACGTAAAGTGGGTATATAAGAAAAAGCTGAAAGAGAATGGTGAGATTGACAAACACAAGGCACGCTTGGTAGCTAAGGGTTACAAGCAAGAGTTTGGTGTTGATTATAAAGAAGTTTATGCTTTGGTTGCAAGGCATGATACAATCAGGTTGGTGATTGCTATGGCAGCTCAAAACTCATGGCCTATCTTCCAGTTGGACGTGAAATCAACATTCCTCCATGGAGATTTGAAAGAAGAGGTATTTATCGATCAACCTCTTGGTTATGAAAAACTTGGCAATGAGCATAAAGTGTATAAGTTAAAGAAAGCTCTATATGGATTAAAATAAGCTCCACGAGCTTGGTATAATCATATAGAAACTTATTTTTTTGAAGGAAGGATTTCAAAAATGTCCTCATGAATATACACTTTTTATATAAATTGAAGATGGAGGAAATATGCTCATTGTTTGCTTATATATGGATGATCTAATCTACACTGAAAGTAATACAACCATGTTTGAAAGCTTTAAGAAATCCATGATGGCTGAATTTGAAATGTCTGATCTTGGCATGATGCATTACTTTCTTCGCATAGAAGTGTTGCAATCCTCTACTGGCATTTTTATTTTTCAAAAGAAGTATGTGGGAGAAATCTTGGACAAGTTTCAGATGAAGGATTGTAATCTTGTGAATACACCATCTGAGTTTGGTTTGAAACTAAACAAGGATGAGGGAGGAAACAAGGTTAACAGTACATTTTAAAAGCAGATTGTGGGGAGCTTAATGTATTTAACTGCAACAAGGCCTGATATAATGCATGTTATAAGTGTCATTAGTAGATACATGGAGTGTCCAACAGAGATTCATCTTTTGGCTGCAAAAAGAATTCTTAGGTACTTACAAGGTACTAAGGAGTTTGGGCTATTCTTTAAAAATAGAGAAAAGTCAGATTTGTTTGGCTTTACAAATAGTGATTATGCAGGAGATTTTGATGATCGAAAAAGCACATCTGAGTATGTTTTAATGTTGGAAACAGGAGCTATTTCATGGTCATCAAAGAAGCAGCCAATCGTCACATTGTCAACCACTGAAGCTGAATTTGTTGCAGCAACAGCTTATGCTTGTCAAGCTATTTGGCTGAAGAAGATTCTTGAAAAACTGCTGTTCAAAGAAGATGGGCCTACTCTTATTTACTGTGACAACAGTTCAGCAATAAAGCTCTCAAAGAATCATGTTCTACATGGTTGAAGCAAACATATAGATGTGAAGTATCATTTCTTAAGGGATCTCACGAATGATGGAGTTATTAATTTGGTTTACTGCAGAAGTGAAGATCGTATTGCTGATAATCTAACAAAACCTCTCAAATTTCCAGCATTTCGAAAGCTCAGGGAGCTACTTGGATTTTGCAGTTCAAAGGACTTTATTTGAGGGATGGCACTTCAAAGTTTTAGTCTTATTAAACTGATGTTATGTGTGGAACATCAGTTTAAGAGAGGGATTGTTAAATAAATTAGTAGCAGCACACGTAATAAATGATTTGGGTTGTCCTAGTCTTTAGGAGTTCAGTAGTTTGTTTTAATTTGCTTCCTAGTTAACAGGAGTTTGTTGATGCACGTTGGATAGTGTCTATTTTCATGTTGCTTTCAGTTATGTACTTACCTATTTATAGGCTGGTTATTTATCAATAAAGAGCAGAAAGTTTATCCACTGTTTTCTGAGTATCCTCTATTTTCACTGTTAGTGCAGAAAACATCCTTCAATTCTTTTGTTTCTGTCAGATGGGAACAAAGGAATGTTGTTTGTACTGCTGAAGGCTTGAGAACGTCGTGATCGCAGTTGAAGTCTGCGTAAAAGTTGAGAGATATTTCTCTCCATTTTGATGAAATTCCTTTTGCTTGTGTAGATCTTCTACTTTATTGGTTTTTTAATTTTCTGCCTCGAATCAGTTGTACGCATCTGGGTTATCCAGATTTGTTCTGTTCCCAACATGATTCAATGCAAAGCCCTCATCCACAAGGTGTACGTTATCACTAACTTTGTTGGCTGTTGACCTACCAGCAAGTATACATGTATTTCCATGGAAGCGGTAAAGCTGCCAAGCTGAAACGCGAAGCTGAAGCTGCGAGAGGAGCAATGAGGGCTGCCATCTAATCACATTCACAGACTCGGCAGCAATGAGATATCAGTAACCTCACATGTTGCTTCTAGTAATATGCACTTTGTCATGGAAGGAGAAAATTGAGCTTGCTATATGTCTATCCTTGCTTTTGTTGCACATATCTTTTGTAACTTGTTTTCAATGCTACTTTCAGTAAAGTTTTTATTGCATTTGAAAATCTAATGTGTTCGAATATGAATATCGATGTAACTTAATATGATAATTGATCACTTACTACATCAAATATATCTCGAATTTTTATTGTATTTAAGTAAACTACAAATTTATCCGTTTAATTATAAACTTACACTGTTGAATTGGGTAGATAAGAAGGGGTAAAATTTCTCCCTCTAGTATTTAGTATATAAAAAAAGGCTTATAGATTACCCTCCTAACAGAATGCTTTGCATGTCTTCTCACAATCCATGGTGCAACCACCGCCACTTGCACTGGCGTGGAAACCTTTCCCTGATTTGGTAACAGAGGTGTAGCACTTAGCAGGGCAGGTAAGCTTCTTCTTGTAACAAGGCCCTTTCTGATTACAAACGACAGAACCACCATTAAAATCGTACCCTCCGCTAAAACCTCTGGCCCAAGATTCACTATTAAGATCGTACCCTCCGTTAAAACCTCCGGCCCAAGATCCATATTCACCTCCGCTCGGATCTCGGAACCAAGATCCGTCGGTATCTGCCATAATCCTATCTTTCCGCCAGTTTTCAGTCCCTGGCCACCCTAACTCGGTGTCTCCACCACCACTCTCAAAGTTTTGCTCGACAATCTCAAATCCTGGATCAAACATCCCCTCAATCCTACCATGGTCGCCAAACTCAGGTCTTCGATAAAAGGATCTGTCACCATTGTCGTTATTTTTCTCAGATGATGAGGCTTCGAATGAGTCATGCCTAGCTACTGCAGATAGCGAAGTTGTACTTAGCAGAACCGCCAAGATGAAGGTGATTTTGAGGTTCATATTTTCAGTTGTTTTTATTTCTCTTTCCGGAGGATTTCAGCTTTGAGATGCTTTATATTTTTTTTTCTCCTTTCAGAGTAGGGAGAAGAGATAGCGAAGTGTTTTTTTACTGTTTTTAATGGATAAGTGATGAAGGGTGATTTATACACGGAAAAACAAGAAATAGCGGCAGATGAGGGGAGGGTGTTCCATGAATTTAGTGACAGATGGGGTTGAAAGTTGCAGATCAATTATGGTTCATCTCACAATAAGCCACAAAACATCTTGACGGTTTCATAATGGTCTTCGAAACGAGGATTCAGCCATGCATTAGAATGCTTCGAAATTTTAGCTTGACCCTAAAGAAGAGGAATTGATGCGAGAAGGGATTACCATTTGCTTGAAACAAGGTATCCCTTTTAGCATGTTTCTACATACCAACAACGGACGAATCAAGTTACTTATATAACATACATATTTATTGTGTGAGACATGATCCGATATTTATTCTACTCACCTGCTCAACTATAGCCGGTGTCAAGAATTTTACTCCCTTTGTGCCAAGGATATGAACTTTCATAGTATAGCCATATAGGAAACATTAAATCATCAACCTTGCCCTTGCAAATCATTATATATTAGCAACATTGGTTATAATCAGAGCCAAACTTCGCGGATCAAATATACTCATTAGATATGTATATTATGTTACTTTTAATAGAAAAACCTCCGTACAACTCATCTATAATAATCATACGTGGTTAAGCCACTATAGATTTAATGACATAGCAAGTACTTTATTATATATTGTTACCCATTTTAACGGTAAGCTCTGCATTTCTTCTTACAATCCATGGTGAAGCCAACACCGCCGCCGTAACCTTTCCCTGACCGTGTTGTGGAAGACGGGTTAATTTCTACTAATAATAACAAATTCACCTTAAAAATTATTATCTAGGTGACTAGTGTGAAAACGATCTACTAAAAATCACCCCAAGGTAGATTCTCAGGAAAGAGTGGAGGGATCACAATGGTCCCTCTTAAAACCCACTCTCCTTAGACAGAACTATCAAGATAAGTAATTTTAATAGGACAATAATTAACAACAATTATACCCGACAATAGCTATTAAATAAACATAAAAGAGAACACCAAAATTTAACGAGGTTAGGCCAAAATTATGCCTACGTCCTCGAACACTACTAAAATAATATTTTACTAATAGAAGAAATATTACAAAGAGAGAGAAAGAGTACAAATAACCTTTAATATAGAAGAATTCTTATATTTGTGGGATGCTAAACCAAGGAGGAGGATGACTCTATTTATAACAAAAGAATTTCTCCTCCTCCTTATACAAAACCAATGTGGGATTCAAAATTTGCCAAAAACCAACAAATCTCCACCTTGGCAAATTCCACACACATCTCTCAAAAAATCCAATCTTCAGTAGTGTCTGCAAATTCATCTTTCAATTTGTAACAATATTGACCAAGTCTAAACAATGTTTAAACTTGACCACAGTTACCACTTTTGTCAACATATCAGCAGGATTCTCAATGGTTCGAATCTTCTGGATTATGACTCCACCTTCTTCTATAATCTCTCGTACAAAGTGATATCGAACATCGATGTGCTTCTTCCTTGCATGGTAAACATGGTTCTTTGCTAAATGAATAGCACTCTGACTGTCACAATGCACTTTGATGTGCTTCTATTTCATTCCCAATTCACCAAGCAACCCTTGAAGCCAAATTGCCTCATTCACAACCTCTGTAACTGCCATATACTCTGTCTCTGTAGTAGACAAAGCCACTGTTGACTGTAAGGTGGACTTCCAACTGACTGGTGTTTTAGCAAATGTAAACACATAACCAGTAGTTGATCGACGCTTGTCCAAATCACCTGCATAGTCTGAATCACAATACCCAACTACACACTGACCATCTTGTTTGTCCTGCTGAAAGACCAAACCAACATCTACGGTGTTCAGAATATACCGCATAATCCATTTCACAACTTGTCAATGCTCCTTTCCAGGATCATGCATATACCTGCTCATAACCCCAATTGCCTGTGAAATATCGGGTCTCGTACACACCATTGCATACATCAAGCTACCAACATCACTTACATACAGAACCTTTGACATGTATTCCCGTTCTGCATCATCCTTAGGTGATATGGATGCACCGAGCTTGAAATGAGGAGCAAGAGGTGTACTAACTGGTTTTGACTTCTCATTCATGCCAAAACGTTTTAGTACCTTCCTCATATATTCTTTCTGAGACAAACAAAGCCTCCCCAATTTCTTATCCCTTGATATCTCCATGCCTAGAATCTTCTTCGCTTCACCAAGATCCTTCATCTCAAACTCCCTATTCAATTGAGTCTTTAGTTTCGAAATTTCTGTCTGACTCCTGGAAGTTGTCAGCATATCATCAACATAAAGAAGAAGATATATATAGGATCCGTCTTGTAGCTTGCGTAAATACACACAATGATCATATTTGCTTCTTGTGTATTTTTGCTTTATCATAAACTTGTCAAATCGCTTGTACCACTTCCTTGGAGATTGCTTGAATCCGTACATCGATTTTTCTAATTTGCACACCAACTCTTCTTTTTCAGTAACTTTGAATCCATCTGGCTGAGTCATGTAGATTTCCTCATCCAAGTCTCCATGTAAAAATGCAGTTTTTACATCCATCTGAACTAGTTCCAAATTCAACTGCGCTACCAAAACCAACAAAATTCTGATGGAGGAATGTTTTACAACTGAAGAAAATATTTCATTATAATCAACTCCCTCCGTTTGAGCGTATCCTTTAGCCATCAATCTTGCTTTGTAGCGGATGTTATTCTTATCAGGAAATCCATATTTCTTTGCATATACCCACTTGTATCCAATTGCCTTCTTTCCATTCGGAAGACTAGCTAGTTTCCATGTCTGATTCTTTTGAAGGGATTGCATTTCTTCATTCATGGCGATCCTCCACTTTTTATGTTCTGAACTTTGGACTGCTTCATTAAAAGTGGAAAGAACGTCATCAATTTCAATTGGTGATGCAAAAGAGACCATATCAGCATAACGAGCATGTTGTCTAATGGTCCTCTTTCCCTTTCTGAGTGCAATTGATTCATGTTGCTATGGAGGTTCTTGGGTCTGAACCTCTTCTTCATCTGACTCTTCTTCTACCATAGAAGAGTCAACATCAGTTTCTTTACTGGCTGGGATAATTCTGCTTCCTTCAAACTCCACCTGTTTGGGAGTTCCATCTGTCTACTCCAATTTTTCTGAAGTCACATTTCTCAACATGGTAGATTCATCAAAGGTAACATCCCTGCTGAAGATTATTTTCTCTAGACACCAAAGACAATAGCCTTTCACACCAGAGGTGATCCCCATAAAGATCGTCTTCTTTGCTCTTGGATCCAGCTTTGACTCCTTAACATGGTAGTATGCAATGTAACCAAACACGTGTAAGGAATCATAATCTGTAGCAGGTTCTCCAAACCTTTCTCTAATGGTGTTTTGCCTAACCCAATATTAGACAACATACACCGAACCTTCTCCACTAATATCCGGTTCATACGCTCTGCCACCCCCATTCTGTTGTGGTGTATATCTGACAGTTAAGTGCCTGACAATACCTTCTTCTTCACAGACTTTCAGAAATGGATCATTTTTGTACTCTCCACCATTGTCTGTACGGAGACATTTGATTTTTCTGCCTATTTGAGTCTCCACCATCTTTTTCCATTTAAGGGAAAATCCTAGCACCTCATCCTTTGTCTTCATTGTATACACCCAAACTCTCCGGGAAAAATCATCAACAAAGGTGACATAATAGTGTGTTCCTCCCAATAAAATTGTATTGGAAGGCACATACATCTGAATGAACATAATCCAAGATACCTTTAGTATCATGGATTGATGTTCCAAATTTCACCATCGTCTTTTTCCCTTTGATGCAATGCTCACAAAAAACTAATTTGCAAGCCCGAGCACCCTTCAATAATCCTTGATATATCAACAATTTCAAGGATTTTTCACCAACATGCCCCAAGCGCATATGTCATAACTTGGTTGCTTCTGACTCATGTTCATCAGTAGAAGTTGTCACTGCTGATGTCCCAACAATTGTACTACCCAGAAAGTAATACACATTGTTTCTTTTCCGGATTCCCTTCATTATCACCAGTGCACCAGAGATAATCATCATAATCTCATCTTTTACCCTCATTTCTAAACCTTTTGACTCTAAGGTTCCCATAGAGATGAGATTTCTCATTAAATCTGGTACATAATGGACACCTGTTAAGGTTCTGATTGATCCATCCTAATTCCTCAAGCGAATTGAACCAATCCCAAGTGTGTCAAGAGGGGCATTATTTGATGTGTAGACAATTCCACCTTTTAGTTCTTTAAAATCAAAGAACCATTCTCTATTGTGGGTCATATAGTGGCTACAAGCTGAATCTAACAGCCATGAACTGGAACAGCTGGTTGATGGCGTTGCAGCGAATGCGAAATCTGAATCTGCATCATCATATCCAACCACATTTAACTCTGAGACAATCTTTCCCCTTTCATGTTTGCCTTTATTCTTTAGCCTGGGACATTCTTTCTTTCAGTGCCCTTTTTCTCGACAAAAGGCACATTCATCTTTGCTCAATCTGGACTTTGACTTCGATCTCCCTCTCCTTCCTTTATTCTGACTCTTCGAACGACCTCTAAAATAAGAGTTTCTACTTCGACACTTTTGTTTTCTTGTTTGTCTTTCTTTCTCAATTTATAACTATACAAGGCAACTGTTACTTCATTGAGAGACACATCAACCTTCCCATGAAGTACAGTAGTTTTAAGATACTCAAACTCATCAGGAAGTGATCCCATCAACATCAGATCCAGATCTTCGTCTTCAAAATTCACGCCCATATTCATCAGATCAGTCAACAGCTGATTAAAGCTAGTAATGTGATCATTCTTAGTGGTATCTGGTACATAATTGAAGCAAAACAATATCTTTTTTATGTAGAGATTGTTCTGACCGTTTTTCTTCAAAAAATTTTCCTCCAGTGCCTTCCACAATTTACTTGCAGAAGTTTTCTTACAAAATACATACTTATGCTCTATAGAAAGACACGATCGAATAGTACCACATGTCAATCTATTGATCCTCTTCCATTCTTTCTCCTCAACATCATCTAGTTTCTCTCCTTCAATAGCAATGTCTAGACCCTGCTAAAATAGGGCATCTAGAACCTCACTTTGCCTCATGCCGAAATGACCGGTGCCATAAAAAAGCTCCACTGCAAATCTAATATTTGTCACAGCATTTCTTGCCAAAATTGAAGATGAAGAAGCTGTTGACGACGATGTGGATTTTTTGTGTCGTCTGCCATTCTGCTACAAAATCTATTTAATAACTGTCAATGCGAAATGTCAATTAGCCCAAGGAAATTTTTTTCTAACGTGGAAGATCAACCTAAGCCACAACCATAGAGCATACTAAAATAAACCAAGAGCTCTGATATTAATTGTTGTATAATCCGGTTAATTTCCACCAATAATAACAAATTCACCTTGAAAACTATTATCTAGGTAACTAGTGTGAAAACGATTGTACTAAAAATCACGTCAAGGTAGATTCTCAGAAAGAGTGGAGGGGGTCACAATAGTCCCTCTTAAAACCCACTCTCCTTAGACAGAACTACCAAGATAAGTAATTTTAATAGGACAATAATTAATAACTATACCCGACAATAGCTATTAAATAGACATAAAATATAACACCAAAATTTAACGAGGTTATGCTAAAATTATACCTACGTCCTTAAACACTACTAAAATAATATTTCACTAATAGAGTAAATATTACAAAGAGAGAGAAAGAGTACAAATAACCTTTAATATAAAAGAAGACTTATATTTGTGGGATACTAACCTAAAGAGGAAGAGAGCTCTATTTATAATAAAATAATTTCTCCTCCTCCTTATACAAAACTAATGTGAAATTCAAATTTTACCAAAAAAAAACCAACAAACCGCCTATAATAAGTGAAGCACCTAGCAGGAAGGGCAGCTTCTTGTTATGGCAAGGGCCTTTCACTTTACAAACAACCGTGGGTTTAATACCACCACCTTTTGAGTACCCTCCCTTGGGACCTCCGAAACCAGCTCCATAGCCACCGCCTACGATCCCATTTCCCACCTATTTTCAAACCCCGGCAACCCAAACTCGGGTGTTGTACCGAAGAACCCGCCGTTCCCTTCATTGTTTTCACCACCGAGTTTGTTGTTGTCTTCGTTGGTCGGTTTGCTGCTGCCTTGGTTATGCTTTCTTTGTTTAGATTATAAGGAATCGAATGAATCAGGCCTAGTTGCTGCAGATAGTGACGCTGCAATTGGCAGAACAGACAAGATGAAGATGCTTTTGAGATTCATTTTATGGGAGGAGTTTCGCTTGGAGCTATCGCTTTCTCTTTTTCTTTTCAGAGCATGGAGAGGAGATAAAAGAGTGCTAAGATAAAGGATTATTTTTAGTGGGCGAGTGGTGGGATGAATGATTAAAATAAGTCATATAAGCAGGAATAAAAGATAGACTTGGTGATAAATGAGGAGGATGGCCCTCCATGAACGAGTAGGTTGGGGTTCAATTATGACCCTATCTTATTTTTAGTGGCAGATGGGTTGATTGCTTGATTTTCTGACAATGGAAAAGATTTAGCCTTGCGATTAAGACAAGTTGAGAATATTAGTTTGAACTTATAAGAAAGAAAGCAGAGATGCTGACGGAACGAGAAAGGATCCCCATTGGCATTGCTTGCAAAAAGAAGCATTGAACCAAGGCCTAAGCTTCGTATCTTTTGCATAGTAAACCATGGGTTTAGCATGCATATATAAGCTTAACATTCACGGTACCGATAATAGAAGAATATGAAATAAATGGATTTAGCAATTGGAGCTTGTTGCAAGTGAATTAATTGTTTGCAGAGCATTAAGTACATCGGCAGCTCATTTCGGACCTATCTGTAGGTACGTGTGCACTAAAATCTGATTTGCCAATAAAGAAACTTTACGCATAATTGACAAGTTGCTATAACCACAGCAAGTTTTAAGGGAAAGAAATCCGACAAGGGGTATCATATAATAATGATAATATGTATCGTGTCTGAGATACGATCCAATAGTTAATTTTCTCACCTACTGTACTGTAGCTAACATCAAGGACATTGAATATAACCCTCCTAGTACAGGAAACAATGAATCATTAGGCTTGCCCTTGCAAAGCAGTTCATGTTAACAGCATTATTTGGCATGATTATAGCATAACTAATGAGTATATATATCCTTCCAAATGACAGGCCCTGCCATTTTCCACACAACATAAACCTGCCCCCCGCTAATGAGTATACAATTAGAGCATAACTAATGAGTATATATATCATTCTACTTTACAGTTTACACCTAATTCTCGGTACTAAATTAACAATGCATAAATTGTCTTGAGAATATAAATATAAAACCTCGAAAAATAAATTTGTTGAAAAATTCAACTAATTAAAAATAATAATATTTCAGTTATTTGTTTTTTAAAATGTATTTGATAATTCAGAATGAAAATTTTATCAATTCTAAAATATATAAAATAATAAACAAATATTTACTTTTCAGTTAATGAAAATTTTTATTAATAAATATTATTATTTCGAATAGAGATGAGCCTAAAAAATAAATTTTATTTTTAAACGTTATATTAATTTCTAAAAATTATATTTATCAAATAATTTAATTGTATTTGTAATTTTAGTTCAATACTTGGTTATAAAAAGTAGGCAGCTAGGTTAAGGGCCGAGCTTGATTGCAGCTAAACTGCTAAACTGGACCAAACCTTCAATGAAATGAATCCATGATATTCTGGGCTCATTATCGATGGATTTTGTTAGGCTCCAACAGCAGCAAAGTTCTCTTCTTTTTCTCCTACCTCCATCTCCTCTCAAAGCTTCTGCCTGATTCGATTTGATAGTCTGGCCGTTAGAGGAATAGCAGATTTATGTCAGCGTCTCCTCGTTGCTTTCGTTATCTTAATTACCAAACCAGAAACCTTCGAGCGATTGCTTCAATCGAGGTGCCGATTTTCAAGCTTCATAAACGACATGCCCATGTCCACCACTCGCTTGAAGAATTGCCCCTTCCAGATGTCAGTTCATTGAATGTTAAACTTGCCTCGTATGTTCGCAATGGCAACGTTCAAGAAACATGGGCTCTCTTTTGTCGGATGCATTTTTCAGGCTGTGACCTTGATGCACATACTTTTACGCCGGTTTTGAGTGCCTGCTCTGCTTTGCCGGGCACGGAACATGGAAAGCAAGTACATGGACTAATGATTAAAACGGGCGTGGATGCCGGAACGATATGCAAAACTGCACTAATGAACCTGTATTCGAAGTACGGATGCTTGGGTGACTCAGTTAAGGCGTTTGAAGAAATTGAGCTGAAGGATGTTGTGACTTGGAACGCTTTGATATCGAGCTATTTGAAGCGTGGTCTTGCTAAAGAAGCACTTGATGTTTTCGCAGCAATGAGGAGGGAAAAGGTCCTGCTTAGCGAGTTTACATTGTGTTCTGTGCTAAAAGCTTGTTCCTTTTTGAAGGCTCCCGAACTAGGAAAGCAGATTCATGGTTTGATTGTTGTATTTGGTCGTGATTTAGTGATTTTGAGTACTGCTCTCATCGACTTTTACTCCGACATGGAGCGTGTTAGTGAATCCCTGAAAGTTTTCTCTAGTTTAAAAGATATCAAAGGCAATATAATTTGCAATTCCTTGATCAGTGGCTGCATTAAAAATCAAAATTACAGAGACGCATTTTCGATTATGAGTAAAATGAGACCCAATGTAGTTGCACTTACAAGTGCTCTTGGAGCTTGCTCTGAAAATTTGGATTTGTGGATCGGAAAGCAGATTCACTGTGTGACATTACGTTTTGGGTTTACTGATGATACTCAATTATGCAATGCTTTATTGGATATGTATGCAAAATGCGGGAAGATTTTGTATGCAAGAACATTGTTTGATGGTATTTCAAAGAAATGTGTGGTTTCATGGACAAGCATGATTGATGCGTATGGTAGGCATGGATATGGAATTGAAGCTCTTGAGCTGTTCAAGCTGATGGAAGTTAGCAGAAATGAAGTTATGCCCAATTCTGTAACATTTCTTGTTGTTTTATCTGTATGCGGGCATTCCGGGCTCGTTGAAGAAGGCCGAAACTGTTTTAATTTGATTAGGGAGAAGTATGGTCTTGTCCCGAATCAAGAACATTATGCTTGCTTCATTGATGTTCTAGGACGAGCCGGTTTAATAGATGAGGCATGGTCTCTCTTGGATGATATGATTGAAAATGGCACAAGGCCTACAGCAGCAATATGGATAGCATTGCTAAACGCTAGTAATCTTAATCAAGATATTGCTAGAGGTGAGTTGGCGGCGAAGCATCTGCTGGAATTGGAACCTGATAAGCCTAGTAATTACGTGCTTCTTTCGAATTTATGTGCAGCAGTTGGAAAGTGGGATTCTGTTGATAAGTTGAGGGATATAATGAAGAAGAAAGGGCTCAATAAAGAAGTCGGAAGTAGTCGAGTCACAGTTAAACGACACAACGGAACAGGCATCATCAGATAAAGCTGTATCTCTAGGGCATTTCCTTGAAGATGTACGATCAGTTTCTTTCATCTACATTCATTACCTTCTCTAAAATAGAGTACACATTTTTTACTGCATTAGACAATCTATAAAGTCTTTGTTAGAAGTTTCCATTCATTCAATTTGGTTTACTGCATATGTTGCCATATATACTGACCCAATTTTCTCTATAAAACAGAAAGTAGGCTTAGTGAATAGTGGGTTCAATAAAAGAAACCAGAAAATATAAAAAATGATTCAAACAGAATGCACCCTTGGTGAATATGAAGAGCCTTGGCAATAAATGAGTGCCTGGGAGTAGAGAAACTCCCCCAAATTATTCTAATCCCATGCACCTTATCATGTTTATGTCTTAATACCTTCCATATCTTGTTTGCCTTAAGGCCTTGTTGCATTCCACCGACTTGCCATTGTATTCATTAGCTTATTTATTTTCTTAAATTGCACATAATATTCTATATTCATGTTTAGATGTGTTAGACATAAATATATGATTTTTTGGTATAAATATAGATTTGATGGGGGATGGTTGCCTTATTCCTTTCATCATCGTCATCAACAATCTTAATCAACAACGACCCAGACCTACCCTCAACGATATAATACAAAACAACAACATAAATCTTGGGTTCAATGTACCTTTCTTTTCATCTCGTTTGTCCTCACTCACATTTTGTCTGCTATGTTGTAAACAAAGGTGTCACTTTATGGTCAGCCGCCGGTTCGCAATGTCAAATTTCAGTGTTCAACCCATTTCGACTCTTTTTATTCAACGGGAAAAAGTGATATTTTATGTATTTATACATTGAATTAATGGTGTCTTTGAGGATTGGTGAAACTTGCAACATAAAAGAAGCCTTTTTAGTTGGGAAAAGAGTAAGACGCGGATTGTCCTGCATTTTTATAAGCAATATTATATTTGTGAAAAAGAATTAAACAAGTTTACCTCAAGAATATTTTTAAGTGTTTCCAATTTTCTATCACAAAGTTTGTGTTTGTGTAAACAAAATGACCCAGTGTATCCTTGACTCGTTTGGATTGGTGTCACTGCACTAGGTTTAGTCAGACGATCGACAAGTAGCTAAGTTGATTTTGTTCTCTGGAAACAGCAACCTGATTGTTCTGTTGATCATCGCAGTATTTACTTCCCTTCTCTTTTGAGCTGTTATCAAAGCATCACCTTTCAAAAGAATAATAATAATAATAATGCTTCCTTGAAGGCCTGAAGCAATACAAAATGAAAAAAAAAACATGTGATCAATGTGCAGTTTACTTTATCATCAAGAACTATACTTTTTTTGGGCAAAACAGTTGATTCCCATTCACCCTTATCTTGGCCGCCCTTGAAAATCCGACGTAAAATAATATAGTCCTAATAGCAGCCCTTCTCAGTCACCTCTAAAAACTGTATAAATCCAATTCTCCTGTCTGCGAATTAAATCCAACCTAAATCTGAATCAGACAAAATCATCACTTCACTACTTACTTCAAACTTTCCGAACCAAAAAAAGATTTTCAATATCACTAAACACTAGAAGATAACAGATATGGGTGGTACAAGGAGAGCACGGATCAACGGTGGGATTTACTCCAAGAGAATTGTGGGCCGTAGGATTCCCAGGAGGGGTCAAGTAAAGATAGCGGTACTGTAGACACTAGTTTTTTGCCCATTTATTTTATTATTATTATTATTATTATTATTATTATTATTATGATTATTATTATTAAATAAATATTATAGGCCCAAAAAACATCAATCCCGGAGCCCATTTACAACTCGGTTACATCAAGCCCAACCTGGTCCAGATAACACGGTTCAGGCCCAGATGATAACCCTAAACCCTCCTAGGGTTACAACATCTTCTCCAGCAGCCATCCACCATCCACCATCAACTGTTGGATCTGTTGAGATCCAACGGTCCACCGATGAACAAGAAGAAACCCTAGGGTTATGATACCCTGGGACAAGCGGCCGCCGCCTCTGCTGCCACCATCCGCTGTCGACGCCCCACTGCCACAACGCCACTCTCGCTGAAGTCTCCAGAAGGCCAGATGGCTACCCACGTCGAAGCTCTATGGTGAGTCACCACCATAGTTAGGTGACTCATCGAAATCCACCCTTAGAACCGGTCCACGGCGAGAATCGTGGTGGCTATAAAAGCCACCACCAAACCTGCAAAAGAACAACACCAACAGAACAAGAACGGGGCAAGAACGAGGAACAAAAACAACAAGCAAAAATACGGGAAACAACCACCAACAGCCAGCAAAACGAACAGAAACCAGAGGAAAACGAGCAGCTTACCTTCGGAGAACCCAAACGCCGCCTGAATCGCTATAAAACCAAAGGTAAAACCTCCGGTTTATTTTAGATCTAGAACGAGAGGAGGCCATATTCGACCTTAGAGTTGAAAGAGGGACATTCAGAGTTATTTTTTCGAATTCCGACCACTGTTCGACGATTACGTCGGAACATGACTGTCGGCCAGTGGTCGGCCAACCTCTGATGGGAGGTTTTTAGAGAGATGGGGGAGCTTCTCTCTCCTAGAGAAAGAAGCTAAAAAGAAAAAATGAAAGGAAATGGCCCTTAGGGCCGATTTTTGGGGCTTTTATACCCTTACCAAAACTACGTCGTTTTGGTGAGGGGTGTTTGTGTAATTTCCCTCAAGGGAAAACAATTCTGCAATCCATCAATATTTTAACTTTACAATTTGGTCATTAAAATCAATTTTTATACGTTTAATTATATGTTTTAATTTTGTTTTATTATAATTTAGTCACTACAATAAATTTTCATATATTTTAATTCAGTATTCGAATTTTATTTTATTTATAATTTAGTCACCGTATATATATATATATAGAGAGGGTAAATACCATATTTAGTCCCTTATAATTTTAGTTAATTTTATTTTAATCCCGTATTAATATTTATGGCTAAATTACACTGTTAATACTTATATTTTTATAATAATTCGAATTATGTTCATTAATTTATATATTTTACATTTTAATCCTATAGTTTTTAATTTTATTTGTTTTAGTCATTATTTAATTGCAATTTATTTTTTTATTATCCTTTTAATTTCAATATGTTCAAATTATTAATTATTATTTTATTCATATATATATATATATTTGATTAAATAATAATGTTTATTTATTTCTAAATATTAAGAAATGGCGGTCTTAAAATAACTAGACATCCTATTCTGGTATTTAAAAAAATAAATAAATATTATATATATATATATATATATATATATATATATATATACTTCATTTTTATTATTTTTAAGAAAAATTATATTCTTCTTAATATTTATTTATTTTTAATATCAAAGAAATGAATTGTCTTAAAGCAACTATATGACATTTTCTGATATTTTTAAATAAATAAATATCCTATTTACAAAACCTATATATCAATTTTTTTTGTTATACGCATACCATTTTAACTTTTAAATAATTTTTTTTAAAAACTCTTTTAAAAGTTGATTTTTAGGTATTCTACCTACCTTATTCAAAAAGGCCGATGGCGACTATCAAAACATTTTAATAAAAACCATTTATTTATTCACATACTGTTCTGCCAAGTAAAAATTCGTGCCCGGACGAAAACCAATTACGTGTGTTTCGCCCATTCTTTAGCTTCTATCTTCTGTCGGAGTAGTGGCCGATGTGCTTCCTTCTCTGAATGAATTAAAGCACCGGATTTTGGCCTCTCAGAACACTAACTTTGATTTATTTACAAACCCAATTCTGTTTATGGGTAGTTTATTTTTCATGTAGGCAGCTGTACAGTCTTAGTACGTTGAGATGATCATCATTTTGAATCGCATTATTACTCTTCAGGGTTTTGAGAATTTTCGAAATGCCTTAAAAAGTTCCATATTGTATTAGTGTATCATTATTTTTTCTAGCTTAAACACATGGGTTTTTTTTACAAGGCATCGATGAACTTTCATATCATTTTCTGTTTGGCCATCCCTTTTAAGTTATATTTTTTGTGCACATGGTTCACTCTAAGCAGCTTTTATTGCAACCTGCCATGGTTAGGCTATAGACATGCTAAAATGTTAAGATGATATTATTTTAAGGCTATTTGACATAACTGACACCATTTTTAAATTTTTCCTTTCTGACACCGTTTGACCAATATTTCCAGAAGTAGCACCCTTTCTGCTGAGTTGGCAAAGGCGCGTCCCCGGGGACGCGCTTTACCCGTGTTTTCGCTAAGTTGGATGCCACGTATGGAAGGCGCATCCCCGGGGACGCGCCTTTGCCAATTCAGCAGACACGTGTGGAAAGCGCATTCCCGGGGACGCGCCTTCCATTAAATGTCATAAATGCCCCCATCCGTTTTTCCTAACTACCCCTCCTCCTCCCCTATATAAACCCCCTCAACCCTCCCTCATTCTTCACACCAAAATCATCTTCTCCTCTCTTATATAACTCAAATTCTCTAACTATTTGAGTTTTAAATTTGTTATTAGTGGTAAGAAATTTATTTTTATGTTAGTATTTTTTAAATAGTTATTATTATTTATATTAATATTTATGTAAATATTATATTTTTATTAAAATAATATTTATATAATTATTATTTATTTAGAATTATTAATTTTTTTGCTAATTATATTGTTTTGTCTACAGTTATAATGGAAAACGAAATGCTGTTGCGATTGGATATTGATCATATCTCCAGACATTTTAGCGATACGGTAATATTTTTTATAATTAATGTTAATATTTAAATTTATTTTTATTTTAAAGTTATTATGAATTTATATTAATTTTTATTTTTTATAATGTTTATTATTTAGGATGCTGATCGTATTTTAGAGACTTTTATTAAAAATCCACGTATACCGACACCGGAACGTATTTTGTCATATTTGGCTTCTGCCGGGTTCGGGTATATTGCAACAATTATAGGCGGTTGCAAACTCGAACCTGTCCTAATTTATGCACTGATTGAGAGGTGGAGGCCCGAGACACACACTTTTCACCTTCCATGTGGAGAGGCGACAATTACATTGGAGGATGTCTTTATGCATCTGGGGCTTCCCGTCGACGGAAATATGATGTGTGGTATGGCAGATGGTGATTGACAATCAATGTGCATTGAT